TGGAGCAAAATCGATGAAGCACTGGACCCTCGTCCACCATTCGAAGCATATTCTTGATCGAGGTGACCAATGTGTGATGAAGTACCGGAACCTTGGTCTTGTCCTGAACCAATGTGCGCGTTTCTTTGCACCACTTCTGATACACCCATTTCTGCTCCGTGGTGAGCCAACCCGCCTGCTGGCATCGAAGCGCCACGGTTTGATCCTTTGCAACCTCGTCCAGCTTTGTCAGCAACTTCTGCAGAATGGCCATGAACATAATTTCGCGAAGAGGTCGATCCGACATCTCGGTATTTTCCCTGCCATGCAATTTCGCTGCCACTGCCTGCAAGTACGGAATGATCGAAGTAGTGTCCGGAGTCCCGTCCCCGGTTTTCACGAACCAGACCAGACCCGTATCCAAGCGTAGAGTCTGAATAGCATCTTCGTGCCGCACCGAAGTGCGGACCAATAGTCGAACAATCTGCATCAGTTCGTCGATTGGTAGCTCCGTCTGTTGATACTGGCTTTGGTGACCCTGCATGTTTCGACCCTTTGGCTTGATCTTTGCCTTTTCCTTTGCCCTTTTGCTGTGGCGTTGCCGGTGTCCTTGGTGCTTTGTTGGGTAGACTCTGACGATCTGCTTGACGCTTTTGATTGATCGACTCCCCTAGCATGGATATGTCCGAGTTCTCCAGTCCGCCGAAGAATTCCTCGATCTGTCCCGCCCGATCCACGTCCATGGTCATGACACAGGACTGCGCACTGGAAAAGAGGAGTACACTGCTTGGAATGCGCTGTGGCTGCGCCCTGCCCTCCGACTCGAACCACACCACAATAGCGACACGGGGATACAATCTGCGCATGATGACGCCGAAATTCAACAGAATAGGTGCTAAGTTCATCCCACCGATCGCCATGTGTATTGCGATAGTGATTCTTCATCATGAAAGTGTGAGCAATCCATGTGTGGCAAATGACGCACCTGTTTTGCATTTCCTCGAATATACCGGGTACAAGACGCAACCCCTCAAGTCCACGATCAGCAATAGCCTGAATCACCTCAGAGCGTTGCGTTATCGGGACATGATCCTGGACTGCAAGTGCCTTCACATCGCTAAGCGCAGAGAGAGCGGGTGCATCATGCTTGGCGAACACGGGACACCAGCCTTTGTTGATGTGCTTTCGAAGAATATCCCACCTTCGGAATTTAGCACCACATCCAGAACATGTGGGGAGACCATCTCGGGAGTGCACTGATCGATCAAAAACCAGACCAGCTTCGCCCTGAAACGCAGGAACCACAGATAGATCAGAGGATGGTATAGAATGAGCGACGACTTGTGAGGGCGCCTGAACCTCCGGTGCCGGATTCAATGGTGTACTGACTGCATCATCAACAGGTGTACCTGCGGTTGTGATATCAAGCTGCACCTGTGTAGTTGACGCCGACACTACCTCAGGGACTTGCGGATCCGTCGGAGGCATACCTTTCGGAGGTTCAACAGACATACCCTCCGGAGACTGCGAATCAGCACTGGGTTTGGGAGGTCGATGACTCTGATACATGTGTAATTTCACCGATTTGCGAGAGTCGAAGTACACTCCACACACAGGACAGGCATGAGGCTGAATCTCTCGAGCGACATGTGTGAGTTTGTGCTGTGTAGCCTGTAAAGTGTCACGCAGTTTATCGTGCCACCGGGCAAGAACCTCCGTGGAAATGCCAATCACCTTGTTCGTACATGCATCCCGAGCATATGCATCTTTCAACCAGTCAGATACGCCAGCAACCTGATATTTAGCAAGCAGATCATTGTCGCTGATATGATAGATGTGTGACGGACACGAGCAAATGGCTCTGAAGTGCTTCATAGTAAGTGTCTGCAATTTACGTTGCAAAGTGGGGCCGACTAGGCAACAGTCCGCTGCATACATAAGCGTCGGCCTGATAGTAGCCATCCACATCCGAATCCTCTGAGGAACACTGAGACCTCGCTTGCTCGTGAAGAACTTTTGTAATTGCCAAAACCGGACATTGGCCTTCTGCATCCTGTGCGCGACCGTCTGTGCTTCAAATTGATCGTATGAGATCTTGGCACCCAAATAAACGGTGGACCGCACCAAAGGAACATGTCGAGTGCCCTGCTCTCCTTCAATCACGAACACCAATTTGTCCCGGACCTTGGTGGTGAATTCGCCGCGCGCTTTCTGTCGAAGATTGCCCCGTACTGTAAACAGTATTTGTGCCTTGTCATCATTCAGCGACATTCCGAACTCCTCAAGTGTTTCCATGATAACCGAAAGCTGCCAAATACAATTACGAAGTTCCTCGTAGCTGTGAAAGGTCCACGCGGAGTGCGTGTCATCTGCGTACTGTGTCAAGTGCTCCTGGCAGAATCGATTGCCGAGTTTTTCGTTGAGGCGTCGACATATAAGCGTCATGAATGCTAAAAAGATTGTTGGCGATCCTCGGCACCCCTGCTTTACTCCACGTCCCACCTGTATGCAGGAGGTATGTGAACCGTTGTGTATTTGGTACTCAGAGCAGCTGAGCCAGCCTAAGATAATGGCCGCCAAGTCTGGGGGCACCTGCGCCTGTGTAAAGGCAGTCCGGATATGATGCCACGGCACCCGATCAAAAGCAGAACTGAGATCCAAGCAAACTTGGATTCCGCCACATAGCTCCGACGGTTTCCATCCCTCAAACCGACGATGTATCGTATCAGCTTCCTGCTGACAAAGATGTCGAACGGCATCACAGTGTGCGAAAACGACTTGCAGTGCCTGTCTGGTTGACCTCCCAGGCATATAAGCATATAGTGGAAAAGAGCTCGCCCAGTCCTGAACATGTGGCTTGAGTCGATCCACCAAAAGATGCATCACTGATTTGGCAACCGCATCCTGAAGTCCAATGGGACGCCAGTCCTTCACCTCCGATGTTTTCTTGCCTGGTTTTGGGAGGAAAATGAGCTCAGCTACACACCATACGCGTGGGAAGATGATATGCTCAGCATTCCACATATATCGAAGCAATTTGCATAGGACAGGAGCCAGTTCCTGTTCGCAAATTCGATACACCACACCCGGCACAGAATCAGATGACACCGCCTTGCGCATTGGTATCTGTTGAAGGTAGGCTCGCATTTCGGCTTCGTCGACCTGAAAGGTATCGGACAACTTCTGCTCTCCATGATCCTGATGTGCTCTGGCAGTGTCGTATAAGTCTTCATAGTACTTGACCATAGCCTGCAATTCCTCTTGTGGAGACAGCATTTGTCCCTTTGGCTTGATTTGAAACTTTTTCGAAGGAGTTTTAGGAGCCAATCGACGAACAATGCGATACAACGCCCATGTGTCATGACGCTGTGCCGCAAGTTCAGCCTCCTCAAGAGCATCAGTGATGCGTTGTTTTCGCAGGACTTTGCAATATTTGCTATGTTCGCGATGCAATTGTCTGAACAAACTCCAGCATCTCCAAGCCCGAAAAATGCCCCGTTCATTTCCTTGGAACGAACGCATCCGACGAAAAAGTTCCCACATTCGAGCCGCGCGACCTGTCTGGAGTTGATTTTGCCATGGGGCCGAAGTGCTCGAATTCCGTGCCGGATACAAAGACACCGTAGTTGTCAGCAAAGACTGGTTTAACTGTTGTAAACAAGCCTGGGGATCGCAGGGTACATTGCATTCTTGACCCCAGGAGCTGACCACATTCTTCAGAGCACCAAAATTCTCTTGTCCACCCGTTTGAAGGTGCCGAGAGAGAGCAGCAACATCGATGTTGTTTCGAGGTGGACGATGGGAGTGCGTTTGCCATGCGCGGGCGATGCTAGCTTGCACAGGAAAGTGATATGCAGCATCAATCGAAACATGGCGACCCACCGGGAACTCATAATCAGCATGTGCACGTTTGGCATCACGATCAGCATGAGCAACACGTGTGAATATATAGTCGAGCTGAGATGTACGAGGCCCAAACTTGAAGGTGTGACCAGGGGCAGGGCCAAACGTATTCAATGCAACAAGTCCATGCGCCCTGAGTATGTCTTGCAGTTCGGTCGAATCCTCAGCAGCAAATGAACAAGGCACACCGCATCCAACTATACGACCTTCATGCTGGCATGTAGCGTTGCAATCACCAGCAATAATCATACAGCTGCGCGTGGGAATGGAGTGACATAGCCCAGAAAGTTGAGTCCACACCGTGTGTCGTATAGACAAATTGCCCGGCTTCCACACGTGTTGATAGATTCCTACAATGTTGAAGGCATTGGAGCTGCCGTGTGGAGTGAATGAAACCCTCAAAAGGTGACCAGGATTGACCTCGTGATATCGTAGTGCTTGTGAACTAGTCAGCTGACGGGATACAATCACGAGAACACCACCACTACCGCCCTTGGTCCCGGTCCCAGAATGAATATAGTGGAAATGTTGATCTGTCCAAGTACTAGTGAAGTTCCACTTCGTTTCCACCAATACAGCAATCTCTGTTTTTGATCGAAAAAGCCATAACAGAAACTGATCGTAGATTGCACTGGCACCACCGCAATTCCACGTAAGCACACTGAGACGACGACCAACGGTGGGAATGTCATGTCTGCGTCTGATATATGGTCCTGTGGTTGCGCACAGTTGAGAAATGCTACTCGGAAGCTGGAAAGGACGGCCTTTGTACATAGTGGAACCATGTTGAAGGGCCCTGCGACACGCTCTGTTGTATGCCCGCTTGCGTTGCCACGGGATAGGCGTATCTCGCAGATCACCAGTGCCTTGTGGTGGAATAATCGAAGACCTGGCTGCATCAATAACCTGAGTCTGAAGACAGCATCCAAGATACCAAACTAGCGCAGAAAACATTCTGGGGGATGGCCTGGACATAGGACGGCGAGGTATACACTCTCGCCTCGGGCCACATCGCGAAAAGAGCCTGTCCCAGACATACATAGAGTACTTGACGATGACATGCATCTGAGTGAGAAGTCCACCGACCTGCCCGGCCAGGCAAACTCGCAAAGCATCGCATCGAGACCTGCGTCGAATGAAGCGTCGAACAGGCGGTCTGCGAAACCGCCACCATCTCCACATACGAAAACGCAGGGAAACACAATTCTGTAGAGCGTGCCTGGTGGCTGCCCTGGGCCCCGGAATGACATGAACTGATAAAGTGTAAGATGCTGCGGATTGAAGTACTCGAGAATCCTGATACATGCATGGCCGAAAGTTGAATGCATAAGCTGTTCCCTGGAACATAACCGGCACATCGCCGCGCTGTTTGCCAAGTAGGTTTGCGACACATACGCAATGTCTGCACTCATGAGCGGCTTCAGTGATGGCCTCGGCAACCACCACAACCCTCGCACCATCCCCGTTGTACAGTCTGGCTTCAATCAAGGTGGAATTCGGCACAACGTGGACCGCGGACTTGGGACCGCGCACGGCTTCGATGGAATTGTAAAAGACCTGAAAGTACGAAATCAAAGAATGAGTGGTGGACGCACGAAATGGGCTTGTGCTGTGCACTGGCATGAGCAATCTCGTGTATGCGGATCCCGATTGCGTTGGCAAATTCTGCGCTTCAGGAGCCGTCGCAGCCGTCTGTACATTGGCTGCAACCGATGTCGTACTCTCATTTGGAGCACGTATCATTGTCGAGGTACCCAAAACCTTCTGTCGCATCATCTCTGCTCTTTGCGCAAATTGCTCCTTCTGCCACAATAGGAGCGCACACTTACGCTCGTCGGCCAACACACGAGCCTTCAAGGGGTCAGGCACAGTATCGGCTTGCTCCATTGTTGGTGTCACGGGCCCCGTAGGCGCTGCAGCATCAGCCTCCGTCGGAAGCGGCTGAAACGTAAATTCAGTGTCCCTCACATCAACCCCATTCGGATTCACGGACTGACTCGATGTACTTTTCCGGTACGCCGGTGGAATAAGAACACGGGCCTTACGCTTCACCTCGCTCTGGCATCGACGAATACTCTCCCGTAGAGAGCCTCTGATTTTCAAGAATCGCCTCCGTGAATGCTTCCTGAATCCATCAACCGCGACAGAACCTGAGCATGAAACCTGGCCCTTGTCAACACGACTAGCACTCCACTTGGGCCGAGGTCGAAGACGAACTCTGGGACCCTTCTTAGTGCCAGTGTCACATTTTGGTGCAGCATCAGTGGCCATTCTGCGATCAGAATGTGCATCCAACCTGGCAGCAACACCAGAGGATCTGGTAGAACGTCCAGGAGCACTTCCCGGAGCAATTGGAATGTCACTGATATCGATAATCCTCATACGTCTAGGACCAAGGTCAATCTCCATCAGCTTGGAGCCACGTGGATACTGTTGTTGTAGTTCTGGAGTCATTGGCAGCACCACTTCCGGATCTCCGTATTGACTCAGAAGCGGAACTTCTCGAATGGAAAGTGAGGCAATGGGCTCCACATCCAGCATCCTATCTGTGGTCCAGCTGCAACGAACACCGCTCTTGCGTCTGTGCCGCGGTAGCGGAGCTCTCTGGCATCGCCTCTTGCGCATGATTGGGCCCCTTACAGCATCATGTGGTTCTGGATGAGCAGGACGTTCAACGCGTCGTCGAGGAAGAGGTGGTCTAGAGTCCCCGTCCGGTATCGGTTCCGGATTGGCCGGAGTGTACACATCTGACATTGGAGAAGCTTTGCTGGAAATCTCGCTTATGGGTCGCAGTATGCTGGGTAAAATACAGTACATCCCTACATGAGAGATTTCAGTCTGAGTGGGAATCCCAATGGCCTGTATGTACTTGAGAGTCCTATGCATCAACCGACCACGGAACATCACATGCATTGAAGAAGCTCTCCGCTGCAGCGAAAACAAGGCGCAATTGAAGAACGTTCGGTACTGTGGCATCGAAACTGAACCACTTTCCCACTGAGGACCAAACTCTGAAGATCGCATTCGCACGATAGTCGTTGTGAATATCGAGCCTGGACACACTGAGTAGCGGCAGATCAGAAGAATGAACGATCGTTCCTGCGTGCACCTGTTGGTAGCCACACATTGCCATGTATCCTGTCCGGGACATACGTAGGATCCAACAGTGCACACATTATAGGATATCGTCAACTCCTGAGTGACCAGCCGAAATTCGCCATGCAGCCATGCATACGGAAGCAATGTGTCATAACCCTGCTGTGATATGCATATCTGTGGAACCTGCTGCATCTGCAATGTCTGATGTGGCTGACAGCAACGAGTCTGCACGCAGGGCATCCGCAAAGAAAGGTGGTCGTGGATGAGACCGTATGCGATAGATAACCTGTTTGTAAATCTCCACATAAAATTGTTCTTTATCTTGGCCCTCAAGCATGTAACGGAAAAAGCACAAAGCTTCGTGGATATTCTTGGACGCAAGTTCATCGTGAAGATGTTGCGTGATCTCCCTGCTCTGGGCTTCATCGGCATACTCATATTGCCTGAGATAAAAGAAGGTTCCCCAGTCCATAACAACGTCAAAGGAGATACCCCGAAACTGCAGATACAAAGCCAGCTGACCATCATCGAGCGTATCTGAAGGCTGTCTTTGCAGGTACTGAGTGATGTCTGATCTGAGCGCCACTCCCTGAATGAGAGACTGTGTCTCAATTTCCGAGGAAAGATCATCTGCTGTATCTCCTGGCGCGCTGGACGCGCAATCTGCAAGGGGCGAAGAGAGTTCTGTATGTCCATCCATCGAAACCTGCGAGATTGTACCACCATGTACATTCGGAGAGGATACTGGCGAGTCAAGAACATCAATAATCTCCTGCACGGTGTCAGCTGCGCTTGTTGGTCGTTCTTCCGGATCATATGTGGAATCAATATGACTACCCGTGGTGGTATAAAGGAACGATTCCAGGAGGCCCTGACCTTTTGATCCCCCGCGAAGAGACCAGTAGATCTGCAAGCACAGATCTTCATAGAATGTTTCCAGGTGATCCCCTTCAAGGAAGAGAAGAAAGAACCCAATTGTAGCTGACATGTCATATCCCCGAATTTCAGACAGCAATTGCGTAAGTTCTGATGTCCTGTCTGCTCCAGAAGATGTATATTGCTGGAAGTAGTGATGCGTGCCAAAATCAACGACTGCCCAGAGCGGCACCTCTGTGATACGCAGGAAATCAACGAAGGATTGTTGAGTAATGGCTGCCGAAAGGGGCCGACGCCAGGTCGGACCTCGCTGCGCTGCGCTGCGCTGCGCCAAAGCAATCCCTGCTGTCTCTGCTGTCCCTGAGTACTCTGGAGATACCGGACGTGAGTCGTATAATTGGGTAAAGTCACTGGTATCATCCATGCTGTCAGAGTCAGGAGAGGCCTGTGAATCAGGCAATGTGGCAACGTCTGCGCTTCTGTATGATTCTGTGTCCTCGTCGTCCATGCCAGGATAAGACAAAACGCCCACCAAATAAGAAATCTCATGCAATGCAAAGCAGAAAGCAGCGCTTGGCTAAATCAAGCAGAAAACTAGTCTTCTCGGCCGTAGAGCAACTTGAAGTAGCACGCGTGTCAGCCACTGCCAGCTATGCAGAAGAATGAAAAAGACGCTCCAGAGGCAAAGAGAAGCTGGAAGCGCCTATGGCAAAATCTACCCAAAACTACGCCCACCACTCGCACAAAACAACTTGAGCCGGGGTGCTTGGTCCTCGGCTACATAGCTGAGGGCGAGCCCCTCGACATTCCCCTGCCCAACCGCAAGGCCAGCATCTACACATCCAGTCACTTCTACCTGGATGATTACCCCAATGCTCCGGAGCCCATCTCCGACGCACCGATGCCGCACACCACAATCAATCCGGCGGCCGCCTTCGAGACAGCGGACGAAGGTTACAGCGGTACTCCGTTTCCCCGCCCGCCCAGAGAGTTCACCAGGCCCTCCTTCCTACCGGACAGCGACGACGGAGGCATGGATCCAGGGCAGGCCCTGCGCAACGACGGGCTCGATGCACCGAGGCCCCCGACGCTCGGAGGCCGCATGAGGGAGTCGGGCATCCAAGCCGCGGAGGCGATCATCGCCGGGGGCGCTGCGGGCGCCGCGGCGGCGACCCGAAGCATGGCCGAGAACCAGACCTTCAACATTTTGAACCGAGGAGGCGACTGGCTGGACAGAACCCTGCGGATCCCCAGGAGGCCGCCGGGACTGGCGC